GGAGGGGGGGGGGGGAGGAGACAAATCGTTAGGTAATCCGACCTAACACAGCGAAAGGGAGATTGAAAAATCAAACTCGCGTGCAACTTAAGGGATCCTCTCCAAGAAGTGAAACTGGGTGCACATCTACGCGAAAAATCAATCGGAGAGTGGTGTGGTGCCGTCGCGAGCGGAACTCAATCGAACAACACAGTACAACAAACTAGAGACGACAAACTAGCGGTACAAAGTAGTGATACACCGAGAGAAAAAAAAAATGCTTGAAAATTTACTTGTGGGGTGTGAAGTTTATTTCTGCGAAACAAGACTTATTTCCGCGAAAGAAACTTTCCATCCCGCACGCATCATACTAGTATAGTACATAGTGATGCACCGAGAAAAAAATACTTGAAAATTTATCAGCGGGATATAAAGTTCATTTCTGCGAAGTAAAGTTTATTTCTGCGAAATGAAGTTTATTTCTGCGAAATGTGTAAAGCTTATTTCCGTCCTTTATCCCACAAATAAGTTTCCCAGCATTTCCCACTCTCTCTCGGCGCAGCAGTAACAATGGTAACGATAGTAATATTAGCAATAATAACAGCGGTGTCCGTCCCTCGCGGGGCTCTCGATGATCGTCGAAAGCGAGACAAGTTTGTATCACCTGAGGCGCCGAGTGACAAGCCGTGCCCTCGGCCACGGCGAACCTCGTATCCGGGAGTCCGCTTATCCCCGTCAACGACAATTCGCTTCTTGGGTGTTCTCGATGGGTCTAATCGACAAGACACATACCGACGAGAGAGTTCCGAGGAGGGGAATTTTCGCGCTCTCTGCGCGCGCCGTAGTTTCGCGTTTTTTCGTGTCGAATCGATGTGCTTGAGGACGGCAATCGTTGTGTTCTTTCATAGATCCGCCGGGCGATCATCGAGAACGTGCGCGAGTCGTGCGCGCGCGCGCGCGCGCGACAATAAATATTAGCGGGGAAAAACGAGAGAGGACCGATGATATTATATATATGTACACATTCGCAATTGCACCCGGTATCTCTAAATCCTAAGCGGGGGAGTGTCGCCTCGCGCTACGCTCGCGAGGCAATCGCTATTTGCTTCTTCTCTTCTGCCTCTTGCGGACAGGATAGGTAACGTACATACATCGTAATACATACATACGTGGTAACGTACATACATCGTAATCATAGACGTAACGATACATAGGTATACGGTTTAGTCGTAATTTTTCTCTATTTTTAGATAACGAACGAGACCGTCTTTTAATATGCTCGTTCTTCTCATTTTCTGCCTATTTCATTTTTGCCTATTTTTATTTTTGTTATGTATTCTTTTATTTTTTAAGCGTAGGCCGGACTAACCCGTCTCTACCTTTCTCTCTCTCTCTCTCTGATTCACTCTTGTTCCTCTTTCACTAACGTTTGATTCATCCTCTATAACGCGAATCATTTCGACCCGTTGCGTAAAAATCTCCATTTTGACTAGATTTATGGTAAATGCACGTTCGTCAACGAAACTTCAAGTTACTGCTTTTTTGTCTCTCTCTTTCTTTCTTCCTGTCTTTGCCCTTTTGTCGAACAATCAAGTATTCCCTCAGTCTATATTTGTCGCAGACTCGCTCGCTCGCAGCGGGTCGTATATTCTCCTTTTTCTCGGCGTTCTTCTTTCAGATAGCACTCGAAGAGAGTCATCTCCAAAATCAGGCTCTGTGTAAGCAGCTTCTTACCAAGGAAGGCTTCCGCTTGATTTCTTCCCTCCACGATAACGGACTCGACGTCTCATTAACGTTCCTCCACATCCGTTGATCGTGAGACGTGATAATCAACACGCGTGCATGATTAGAGATCAACCATGTCGTCAGGTACCTTTTTCTGTGTTCTGCATCGAGACGGTTTCTATCGCGCGTCGCAGTAGACGGGCCGAAGAAGAAAACATTCGACAGGAACGAAACGTGATGAAGAACGCGCCCACGTGAGCGGACGAGCGTGTAAAAACGCGCGAGCGCGCGGCTAATTGATAATCTCTGTGCAGCCGTGGTCGGTGACGAGGATATCGGGGCGCTCTCTCGAACGAATCAATACACGGAGAAATAGTATCGACACGCTCTCTCTCTCTCTCTCTCTCTCTCTCTCGACGGGACGGTCAATACCTCCTTAGCACTTAGTTAGAATATCCTACGAATCGCACGATCGATTAATTATTGCTGTGCAAGCAAAAGCTGTGATGACGGTCGGCCGCGCGCCAACGCGACCGCGATGACGATCTACGCCCCGCGTGCGCTTGCCGAGCTTCCGCGCGTCCGGCAAACAAAATTGTCCACAATCGATGTATGTGATTCCGGACAGAGAATTGCGAGCCCGATGATAATCGTGCGCTGCGAGGAAGAACACTCGGAAAACTTACTTGTAGGACGTAATGCTTATTTCTGAGAAATAGTGCTTATTTCTGCGAAATAGACTATATCCCACACGTAAACTTTCGGGTATCTTTCCTCAACGTGTAAACGCTCAATCTCCCGCGTCGTCTCAGGCGCGCGATTCAGGATGATCCCAAACATTGAACGCGAATTTATTGCCTCGCGAATTAACACGGACATTCTGATTGCGCACCTGTGGTCTTCGGGATCGAGCGCGACACACTGTACAGGCAGATTATACCGGTATTGGCGTCTCGGCTTCTGAATCTGACAATTGAATCCATGTTTTCTCGCAACGTTCGCCGATCACACGTGCGACACTCGCAGACGCGGAGGCTGCGGAAGCGACGATCATTTCTTTGCGCCTTAAATATCTCTATCTATATATACATATATATATACGCACACATACACGCGTGTTTGTGTGTATATACATCAGTTCTCCGTGTACTGCCAACGTCGCGCGTGTATCTTGGTACAATACACCTTAAGATCTAAAAATCGTGCGACGAATACCACGCGTCTCGGAGCGTGCTCTTCATCCCCCTCGTCGTCGACACCTTTGTCAGAGTCCCTCGGCGAGCCTTCGAAGGCGCACGATTTCGCGCTTCGAGCCCTGCACAAGCTCAAAGTGCGCGTTAGCAGCCGCGTAGGTCGCAGTGTGGTCACGGACAGAGGTGTCAACATCGATCGGCAAAGGGGGAGAGGGGAACGAAAAGCGAGGACGATTTCGCTCACACGCTCTATTTTTCCTCTCTCTGTGTTTCTCTTTCTCTTCCTCTCTCTCTTCCGCTCCTTTTCTCGCGAGGCCTAACATCTAAGGGAGGACATAAAAATGGTTTTTATGCTTTACGACGTTTACAACAACTATGACGACCACGACACCAAGTTGCCGATGCACGCCAAGTCGCCGTCGACGAGCCGTTCTCTCTGGCTCTCTCTCTCTCTCTCTCTCTCTCTCTCTCTCTCTTGCTACGCGGGGCTGTCACAAACTTGTTGATCTGGGAAACGTTTGTGAAGCGTGGCAGGGAGACAGGAGAGAGCGCTTGTCGCCGGCAGACGCGCCGAAGAGATTCCTATAATGCACGATTTTCGCTTTCGCCTCGGTTCGCTATTATCACTACGGTTAAACACTAACGCTTTTCTGCTCTCTCTTTACAGGCTACGTCGTTTTTATGTTAATATTTATCCACTTCTTCGTGTCTCTATTTATCAACTAAATTATTAGAGTCATTTGACGACGACTCCGCGCGTTGCCGCCAAAAGATTCGAGATGTGTATTTGAAGTAGTGGGCGTGGGGGAGGAGCAGGGGCGGGGGAGAAGAGGACGCTAATATTCGCGATTCTCGCGAGATGTATAACAATTCTTTCTCCCACGTACGACCCGCGTCGAGTGATGATTGCGAGGGGGGAGTGCGAGTCATGCGGAACGCGCGTACTAAATTGAATCTTTGTGGTGTGCAAACTGGACAATGCTCTTCGACGACGTACACCGAAGGTTAAATAATATTAGCCCATCTCACGTCCCACCGTGTTTCTCCCTCACCCTCTCTCTCTCTCTCTCTCTCTCTCTCTCCCTTATCGTTCACGATGCGTCCCCTTCTCCCTCTTGGGTCAAAACTACGAGGTTCGAGCCAAGAAGTTGCAACGTTCTCGCTGATAAGTAGCTACGGCCAACGACCACGCGTGCTTAAAAGTCGCTAACAAAATATTATTACTATTACCACTTAAGTCTAAAGAGCTTTCAGCTTCACTATGGATTAAGTACACACGTTGATACTTCGTCAAACCCTCTGCAGCGACACCTAACTAAAGACAACACGTTCAAGGATCCCGGAGGCGTCAGAGGTGCGTCGAAAATCGCTAGATTGGCGCTCCCTTTGTCGATTTTCCCTCGGTTCGTTTGGTTAATTTGATATCTATATGCAAGTATAGATGTGTGTAACACCCGCCTAGGTGTGTAACATGACGGCCATGTCACACACATACTTACAACCTCGTGCACCTTGCTTAAAGAAAACCGCCGTAAGAGAAAGTCTTGCGTCGCGAGTCGCGTGCAAACTTATACATACACACACACATATATATATATATATATATATATATATATATATATATATATATTATATATATATTTATATATGCCCGTCGCGAGTATACTTTAATTAAATTGCGCATTATCGCTGCTCCTGTGTGTACGCGCGTTCCTTACTAAAATAAATTAAACGTGTACATAAACGTGTACACGCACACGTGTATGGATATATAATAATATACCTTTGATGTGTTCTTTGATTACGAGATCCACCAGTGGACTCTCACTCCATGCGCTTAATGATTACTCGAAATTCTTCTATCTTAAGTATGAAATCAACGCGCTTGTCTGATTTAGACCGTATCCTGCTCGGTCTACATCACGCGAGCGCGATCGTGTATATGTGTCTTTCTGTGTGTGTGTGTGTGTGTGTGTATGTGTTTGTTTCTTTTTTTCTCTTTTTTACTTAAATACCTATCGGAGAAGCGCTGCGAGATGCTCCTCTGTATAAAGCTCGGCGAAAAGACTTTGGATCTCGCTCGAGGGGGGCGCCGAACAGCCGGTCAGTGTCAGTCAGCCGGCTACTCCCCTCGGGAAACGAGAGTCGACTTTTCGATTCTTCCTATAGTGATGGTGGTCTATATCCTATAACAAGGGGCTTACACATAGACTTCGACATTTATAAATGTATCCGCTGGAATTACTTAAAATTTAAGTCCAGCTTACGTTCAGTCTTCATCACTAAATTTCGCGAATCGTCACTACGTTTTAAGTAGAGAACTAAACTTGACTTAGTTTTTAAGTAATGTACGGCTAAAACTTAGTTCTCTCCGGGACTTTTCCTTCTTCGTCGCTTCTTCGACGAATCAACGACCGATACGACGAAAAGAAAAAAGCGATTATTTCGATAACGAGGACCTTCTTCTCAAACGACGTTCGAAAAAAAATGCGTCAACAAGCGCCAAGCTGTAACGCGCGTTTAAAAGAAAAAGTCGTGAATTTGCGCGTGTACGAATTCGCGTCGCGTCCCTATCACTTAAACGCAATACTGAATATCGTCAGATCGAAACTCAATCGAGCTCGCATAATACTTGAAGAGATGAACGGAATAATTCGCTCTGTGCGTACGCAAACTTTGTATATAAAATCATTGGATAGAAAACACTCGTTAAAAAAGAACTATCTCTCTAATGGAGGAAAAAAGAAGTAGAAATAAAAGAAATCGAAGATAACGACATGTGAAGTGTGTGTGTGTGTGTGAAGAAGCCGGTGAAGACCGGTGAAGACATCCTGCCGAATTTGTTCGATATCTCTTTCTCCCTCTCTCTCCTATATATCTTACGTAAATCTATATATTCCTGTTTGCGTTTCTAATAACGTATTATATATAATTTTAGGAATATATCACTTTGAAGTGAAATATTACCGATCGCCCAGCGATCGCTCATACCGTTTCTTTCGCGCGAGAGCCCATCACTTTTCTCGTTCGTTTGTACTACCTCATCGTCGTGTGAACTCTACACCCCCGTCGATTGCATATTCCAGCAATTCGTTTCGGAATAACGTAAAAACTTCGTTCGTTCGCTCGCTCGCTCGCTCGCTATTGCTGTTTGTTTACCTCCGGTAACAACACCGACTCTGGCTTCTCGCGAAAAATGATAGCAAAGAATCGCAACTTCTCCGACTTTTTTTCTTCAGGGCGAGCGCCCTGAGAAAACGCGTCTTCCTAAGCTCCACGCTCCAAATCAACGTTGCGTTTCTCTGCACGGTAAAAAATATCTCCCGCGAAAACGCAAATTCTCGAGTAAACGAAACCTCTGGTTACTCCTGCCTGGCTAGCTGGGGGATGATTTCCGAATTATGTCAATGTGTTTCGGATCGCCGCCAATACGCCTGGTGAGTTGAAAAACTTCCATCTGCAATGGACAAAATCATCTCCGTATCGGACGCAACGGCCAAAGGAGATCTCGAGCAGCTTCAAAAACGCCACGGTTTCCAGCTTCGCGACTTAGCGCATTCGCCACCTTGTTAAGCGAGAAGCATTAGGACGACATTAATTTGGTTTCCATTTCCATCTTCAGTGGTTATTCATCTCTTATTGCGCTGCAAACCTTGCTGGATTAAAGTCCTTGTTGACCATGGAGAAACCACGAAACTCCTCTTGATTAATGTAGTTCACGTCCTCCGATTCTTCCGGCGTTAACACGGGATCCTCCTTCGTGAATTCCGTATCGAAGTTCATGGCGTCCTTCTCGTTTTTCTGAAAATCGCCAGAAGAAAGATCGCGTGTTAGAGAAATCGTTCGTCGCAACCGATTTTGAACGCAATTTATCAGAAAGTTCAGTACTCACAATTTTAGGTCTAATTGGTGGCTTTAACCTGCGCGCCTCGAGCGCCTCCCAATCCATGTGTTGAAAAAATGGATGGACCTTTATGGCGTCTTCGCCGCCTTGAGACGCGACGCAACCTAATCGCTTGGCAGGATTCTTAGTCATGAAGCCCTTCAATATGGACACTGCTTCCTTGGTGATCCACACCGGATATAACACGTCATCCCGCAAGATCGATTCGAACAGCTCGTCTTCGTTCTCAGCCTCGAACGGTGGCTGCCCGGCCATCATCTCGTACATGAGAACGCCGAGGGCCCACCAGTCGACGCTCGCGCCGTACTGTATTTCCTGAAGTATCTCGGGAGCGATGTAATCCGGCGTGCCGCAGAACGTCGACGTCGTTGACTGTCCATCGACTATGTTCTCCTTGCACATTCCAAAGTCCGCTAGTTTGCAATGTCCCTCTTGATCCAGCAATATGTTATCCAATTTAAGATCGCGGTATATAACGTGATTTTTGTGCAGAAACTGAAGCGCGAGCGTCACCTCCGCCGCGTAAAAGCGCGCCCTTGCTTCGTCGAACTTCCGAGCCTTCTGAATGTGGAACATCAGATCACCTGTAAGGCAAAACAACGACATGATGACGATGGAAGACGTCAAGAATTGAATAAAATAATTAATTGAATTAATAACGAGTGAGACGAAGTGACAACTTCCGTCTTGCCCTTTCGCGAAATACGTGTAAGTACCTCCATTCACGTATTCCATGACGAAGAAGAGCCGGTCAGTCGTTTGGAAGCAACTGTGGATGGCCGTCAGAAAAGGATGCTTCGCCGCCAAGGCCAGGATCCTCTTTTCCGTCATCGTGCAGTCCACGTCGTCGTCTTGAAGGATGACGCTTTTCCTCAGAATTTTCACAGCGTAAATCTCGTCGGGGTTAGTCTTTCGTTCCACTAGCATCACTTTACCGAAACTGCCCTTGCCCAGGACTTTGATAAAATTAAAATCATCTATACCGAACTTTCTCTGTTCACTGCCGTTCACCGGCACCGCATTCTCATTGGCGTTAAATGGTGTTTCTAGTGTTTTCTGACTCGCCTGCAAATTGTCCGCGGTCAGCTCATCTGTCACCGCGGACGACGACGAGCCTGCGGATATTCTGTAATTAATTTTCGGCGTTTTCACATGCTTGTCCGCGGAGATGTTCATCGTTTTCAGGATCTCGGCCATGGCCTTGGTATTGATGCCGCAGCTGTTCGGTACATTCTTCTGGCACCGTTTGTGAACGTTCATGTTGCAGGCTGCATGAAAAATACAAGAAAAAAAACGAAATTATAAAATCCGACCACTTTTCACTGGACGACGGTAAACACATAATCAATCCGCGTCGACTTACCTTCGCATTGTAAACCTTGCTTGAACAACCCGTACAACAAGGATCCGCAGTGGTCGCAAAATGTAAATCTCTTGTAATTGTGGGGGACGAACCGATGGGGCATGTCTATGCTGAAGCGCGGGCTCTCTGTGTCCTGACTCGACTGTAACCCAGGTCCTTTACCCTAAGTGGATAATTCGAGAAACGAGAAACCAAGAGAATAAGAGGAACAAAACAGCCAAACTCAATAAGCCCGACAAGACGCGAGAAAGAAGAGCAAACAAGGACCTTACGTGTAACGCATTCGTTCAAATATTATCGGTGTATACGAATGAAAATTAAAAACACAGTAAAATATTGAAAAAGAAACGCAACGTGAGATCCATATGTAGGTTGATGCCGATTAATAATAATCACGATATGTATTAGATAGAAATATGCAACAAGTCGCCTAGATAGTGACTTCTCTCTAAGAGTCGTTCTACATTAGTTGTAAGTCTCAAGGTCGCGAGAAAATTAATCAATCGCAATTCTTCTTTTCGTCGTAAGAAGAACGATCGACTGTGATTGGTAAATTTTCTTACGATCTTGCGATTTGCAACTAATGTAGGACCGGTCTAACGTATGATGTAGAACAAAATTCATTGGACCTACCGCATCCTTCATTCCTGGACATTTCGTTATCACCAACTTGTGACATCTCTTGTGGACCACGCAAGTGCACACTGAAACAGCGTCACGACAAATATCCTTTTTGTAGAAAGGCTCATATCCGTACGAGATGTCATAAGTACTGCACGTCCAAAGCTGCTTGCATGCGTGATTAGACGCACCCGAAACTTATTTACAGTGATATCGCAAGCGGGATCAGAAAAAGTCGCGGCGGAAGCTCTCGATGATTTCGAGAGAGAGAGAGAGAGAGAGAGAGAGGGAGAGAATGAGAATACATGACCGCGCTCTCTCGGCCTCTCTCTCTCTCTCTCTCGACGGCACGCTTCTCGTGTGCGTGGGTGTGTGTGTTTTCGTCAACTTTGCGCCGGTCAGTCGATGGAGCAACATGCGATGAAACGAAAAAAAGAAAGAGTCCTACTTGCAAGTCAGCATACAATATCAAAAGCATAATATAGAACAATCCAAAGAGGAGATCCACTACTCCACCGTGCAGCGCACGGTCAGTGTCGAAGTCCTGCGGTGTCGTGCAATTAGCGTCCGCGGTGCCGAAATACGTCGGGCAGACGTTAGATTACACTAAGGGTAAAGCGCGCGAGGGTGGTAAGTGATGAAACCCCAGGTGAGCGGTCATGAGCGGTTCTGCGCGTTGCTGTTCCGCGTGTGTATCTCCGCGGTGTCTCGCAGTGCACACGAGCAGGGATGCGGGGTGGATGAAGAGCGAAGCGTCAAGGGTGTCAAGCTGCCGCGTCGAGTGGTGAATGAGCCGATATCGAGAGCCCGATTCGTTCGAGATTTCTCTCTCAATGTCGTCGTAAGGAAGACTAATCGTGCACGTACGCACACACACTCAGCTGCACACACACATTCACACCAAGGGTGCGGCAAGCGGGTACATAATTATAATCTGTTAATAACGTGTATGTGTCTTCTCACCTTGACACTGATAGCCCTGCTTGCCCAAGCCCCTGAAATACAACAGACAAAACACGTCACATCGTATCCTCGTGATCCCTTCTAAGACACATACGCTTGCCATCTTCAACCGTACTTAGTCATCTACGTCTAGACTCCGGGCGGAAGGGGCTTGCGATGACCGATGGATGCGAGAAAGAGAGAAGTCATGTCGACCGTGTCATGCATCGTACGTGTGTGTGTGTGTGTGTGTGTGTATGTATACCTTTCCCCATCGCTTCGATCGATTAGCTTTTCGTTCATCGAGATTCGTTCTCATCGCCGTGCTCAAGCACGATGTTGTATCGTTGCGCGAACGTTCCAACACCTCGATGTGTAACACCTGAGACGGCGGACTCGAGTCGTACAAGGCGTGTGTACTCGGCAAATTCAAAGCGTGCGACCCATTCGAGAAGGAATTTATACGCGCACAAGCGCGTAGAGATACATCTCAGTCGTAGTACAAGATATACAGCAAAATCAAGCCCAGCTTCTGTCTATGTGTTCGTTTTCTTAATTTTCTCATTTATGCGAAACAGCGTTACTCGCGATAACTCAGTCCCGAAGTGTAAATCGCCTACGTTGACTACGTTACGAAACAATTGCACACAATATCTCCGTCTGTACCGCTAGAGTGGGATATGAGGAGGAAAAGATCAAATATCCGGAAACATGCAGGCCTGGGAGTTTCGTGTGAATGTTCCGCTTGACATTGTTACAACCAGGTGGTACCGACAGACTCGATTACGCGCGATTCTCTCTCGCCGGTAAAACTGAGACCGTGGATCAAATGTACACCAATTCAAGCATGCTCCTTGTGTTCCCAGATACTCCAAGGTGATACGCACTCGGACCTCGAGTAAGGTAGCGTCGAGAATTACTTGTGCGATTGAGACCTTTCAAGCGAGATGAGAGAGATGCCATCAGCGACGTGCGCGCGCGTCAAAGCATACATACCAGATGAATTCGCGGCAGTGCGAGCAGAAGGTCGGTTGCCTCAGGAAGGTAGCCATGAATTTGTGCCCGTTCACTTGATGAACCCTCCGTCGCATCGCATCTCGTCGGCGGTTGAAGCCCTGCCTCTCCTTGAATTCCCGCCGTGGTTCTTTACTGGTGGTGATATTGCCGATGCCCCTGCCACCGATAGCCTCGCCATCGCCGCCTGTGCCGCAACTTGTCTGTCGATCTGTAATGTCGAATTTAAACGATGAAGCACAGAACCGCTTGACGATATGTTTGGTAAGTTCTTTGCTCTCTCCGTCACACATTTACCTTGGTCATTCCATTGCAAATCTATTTTCACCCGCAATTTTCCCTGAGGTTCCAGATCAACCTGCAAGAGTTCATATTGTCAACAATCGAATAATAAAGACGAGAAGGGTACAATTAGTTATGCAAGCATGAACCAACTCACAAAACTGACTTTTCAATTTTTGCTATCAAGGGATAGTCCATGAGTTTTTTTACATAAAAGATCCAAGCCTTATTAAATTTAATTAAAAAACAGTTTTTATTTTCTTCAGTTTTAGTTGCATCTTCTTTTCCAAAATTTTTAAGGTTGTCAATGAATACCCTTAAAGAGAAAAAAATTGTCCGATTTCTTGAGCGATTGTGGGAAACCACAGTGCTACCTATACATTTCATATCGTGTATTAAATTTGCATTTTCATCTTTCTCAAAATGTACTTTATATGAGTTGAATTATTCTTGCTACTAACTACAGTCAATCGATGTCACCACTAATAAGATAGAGTGGATTCCAAAGTGCACTGACAGTAATGACAGTATTGAAAGACTACACATGAATAAGTGATAACACACAGAACTGCAAAGATATTTCAGATAACCATGTACGGTGTAAGTCACTGAATAACATTCGATTCTAAGATATCTCTGTTGTCTCTTATACTCAAAGAAAATGTATAAGGAATCATGGTTTCAAGGGATAAACATTGTGGTCAGCCAGCTCTTACAACCATAATAATTTGTTCCTTACACATTCTCCTTTAACACATAGAAATATTTAGAACAACAGAAATATTTTAGAATCTAACGTTAAGTCTGTTCGTCTTTAAAGAACTTCTCAACTGATACAATAAGCTAGAATGAAACAAATATTCTTTCCTTCACTCCAACTTATTGCAGTAATCTGTACTAGTTGAGAAGTTCCTCAAACAGACTAATTGTTAGGTGACTCACTCAGCGCACAGACATTGTTAGACTTTGCAATAGATTACAGAGTGACACATAATTCACCGGTGAGAGCAAACAAACCCACCCAAAAATCGGTGGTCTTGCCGTTCCGGCTGACCAGCTCCTCGAACGGGATGCTGCAATTGGCAACGAAGTAATCCGGCGGCAGTGCCGAGTCGTGGAAGACAGTGAAGCCCAGCGTGACCGCGTCCTGCACCTCGTGGATGAAGCACTCGTTCCACACGGGGTCGAAGGTCTTCGGCTTGGTTGACGAGCGGTACAGGTGGTTCTCGTCGACGTCCAGCTGCACGTACGGGTCGAGTATAGGCTCATCTTGCCAGAACTTGCGCTGCTTGTCGGTCGCGCGTAACCCCATCGCCTCGCAGATCTCGATCTTTATTGTGCCCGTGAACATCGTGATCTCGGCGGAGATATCGCGCGAGAGCGGCGGATCACGGCGAAGAGGTAGAAATCCGATCGACGGATAACACGATAACGAGCCTGCCTGTCTGCCGATCGACCGACCAAACTGTCACACTGCAACTGTCAAACTGACACGGGAGCTCGGCGTGCACGAGCGAAGCAGGCAGGTTATCCGGAGAGTTGGACGACAATTTTCCCCAAGGTCGCCGAACCTTCGCACTTTACACACTTAGCTCAATCTCTCTCTCCTTCTTCTTCTCTCGAGCAACGACACTGACCGTCACAGCACGCCAAGGAGACGTGAAAAACGAGGGGGAAACCCGGGACCGTCGTCCCTGCTTGCGTTCGCTCACCGGGAGACACCGAAGAGTTACGTCGTCGCTCCTCGCTCTGTCTCCTTCACTGTCACCGTCCTTCCGTCGTTCCAATCTTTCCGCGTTCTTCTCTCCTCTCCGGTCGACCGAGCGCGATACACGGATATCGCGCCTCTCTCACTCTTCTCTTCTCTCCGACTCGGGAGACTCTATCTCAACTATGTCTCTGTCTCAACTATCTCCTCTCTCTCTCTCTCTCTCTCTCTCTCTCTCTTTCTCTCGCTCCCTCTCTCAACGCTTCTACTCACTTCTGTCAAGTTTCTTCCCCGTCCTCCACCTCGCCGCCCTTTCCCTTTCCCTGTGCCTCCTCCGCCACGAGCACTGACGAACGTCGTGCAGTTATAAACACTCCGGGCGCTTGGCGTGCGCGCATAACAGGAACGAGCGCGACCTGCTCGGCGATTTCGGTGCACGCGACTCTGAACAATGACGACGACGCGGCGACGACGACGGCTGCTGCTGCGGCGGCGGCGGCAACGACGACGACGACGACGATCCGACGACGCTGCTTGCCGCGAGACGCGAGTACGAGGAGGCCTGCCCTCGTCCCCTCGCTGTCTTGACACCCATCAGGCTTCCCTCTTCACCTTGTGACCCTTTTCTCGTTTGTGTCCCGTTAAAAAAACATGTAAGAACAGCGCGCCACTCTCGCGGTCACACGCAACAATCCGCCGATCGAACGACCGCGGGATTAACTAGGCGAGATGTGAGCGATGCGCCTTCGCCTATTCTAAACCGCCCCGCACTACCTACCGACCCACATCGACCCTGAACGTACCCGAGAATGCTCGAGAACCGCTCGATTGGTCGTTCGCGCTCCGCGCAAACGACGACTCACCCCGACCGACGTCGGCCGTGTCCTCGGCGCTCTTCGGGCGTTTTCGATATCGTCTTGCGAGAGATTCACACCGCGCGTTCTGTACTCGACCTACCGATACCTAATGGGAGGTGGTGGTCCTCTCCCTCGAGATGAGAATCACGCTAGGCTACACTCTCGCGAAAGCGAATAGTCGTATTGCGTCGAGATATCGAGATTTCTGTTTAACATCGATGGCAATAGATTTGAAACGTTGTATGACTCTTTGATTGTCGCGTAAAGTTATCAGATCCCTTCGCGCCTTACTTTATTTCTTTTTCTTCTTCTGTACTTATATGTATGCAAAAAAAAATGTTTCTTGCCGTTACATTGTATTGCTTGAAATTCATGGAATTTAAGAATAAAATTTGCTCTGTTGAAAAATTTCAATAATTACTTTATCTATTTATTCTAGTATTTACGTTAATTGCTTACTTGAATAATAACTTTACTGACGTTAGTGTTAGATTACTACACTGTCGAATGTTACTTCTTTACAACAACTATACAAGTAATTTATTAAACTTTAAAATAAAATATAGCATAAACTTGAAATTAGAGATTCTAGTTAGATTTTTTCTGAATAATTTCAATAGCGTAATTTTTTCCAACGTTACAGTCGGTCAATTTTGTTTTATCATAATAGATTGAATGTTCTATCATAATAGATTTCTATCGAAATCGATATCGTATTTTAGTCATATCACATCCTTAATTTTTTATCAAGGAAAGTAGAGATAATGAGATAATTCAAGAAGTATTTCAACTTTGAAGTCTCCAGATTACAGAAATATTTTCGTATATAAAGCTAACTTATTTTTACAATGTTTTGTAAGTATAAGTCGGGACCCGACAAAAGTTAAAATTTTTCATAAAGTTTGTCACATTGCACTGTCTAAATAATATATTGCACACGAATATGTGCGTTTATATTAAAATACATCTATTACATTATATCTCAATTAAGATCAGTTTTCGTTGTGAAGAATAATTTGAAAGATAAAATATAAAATTGAGTGGTCGCCATTTTTCATTTAATTCGATATATTTTAATAGGGAACAGTGGTAAAATTATTTTATTAATATGATTAAAAACTAAAGATTTTAAGTTATTAAACGCTTTTTGAACGATCTCGATAGCATTATTTTTGCCGAAGTTACAGCCCGTTGAACTGGACCTACTTTCATGATAAAATAAAAAGACGTCTGACCCCTCGTTAAGTAGTGCTACTTAGAAAGAACTCTGAAAATGAATGTATGTCTGACCCCAACATTTATGGCTTCTGCACACAGGACGCGGTAATGGTTGCCGCGCGGCGGAAGTTCGCGCGACAGCCAATCAATATGCTGCTTTCCGTAATAACTCTTCTACGGAAAAGCAACATATTGATTGGCTGTCGCGCGGACTTCCGCCGCGCGGCAAGCATTACCGCGTCCTGTGTGCAGGAGCCATTAGTCATATTACGTTCTCAATTCTTGGTAAAAAAAATGAAGGCTCGTAGCCGAAAAACTTGGAATTAATAGCGTGTTCGACTGGCCCTGGGTTAATCGCTCCGAGAGCGATTAATGACGTCATAAGTCTCTACTAGCCAATCATAAAGCTTATAAGTACCTGTTCGATCAATAAACGTAGGCTGAATAACCCAGAGTGGGTTAACCAGAGTCGAACATGCTATAAATTTGTTGAAATAGCGGATCTAACTTTACTCTCAGGGCTGCATTCCAAAACTCTACTCAACGGGTAGAGTAACATTTAATTGACCAATAAGAACAAAGATAACTAGGATTTTTTTATCATAATTGGTCAATTAAATGTACTCTACACCGAGCACAATTTTGGAACGTAGCCCAGGCAAGCAAAAGTTAGATCAGTCAAGGTACCTTTACACGGGAGCATCGAGCGTCGAGCGTTAAAGCGGTAGACAAACAACGTGCCACTTTCCGCAAGAACTACAAGTATAGGGACCTGATACGTTGATTGGCTAATGGCTTTTGCACACATGACGCGGTAATGCTTGCCGCGCGGCGGAAGTTCACGCGACAGCCAATCAATATGCTGCTTTCCGTAATAACCTTCTAGCTCTTAGGGAAAAACAACATATTGATTGGCCGCCGCGCGGCAAGCATTACCGCGTCCTATGTGCATAACGTTTTAACGCTCGACGCTCGGACGCTCTTATTTAAAGGTACCTTTATTCTTTGAGAGTCAAGGAAGTGGAGGCTCGTAGCGGAAAAATTCGGAACTAAATTTAGCGAAATAATGGATCTAATTTTTGATTGGCTGAAATTCAAAATAACGGGTCTAAGTTGATTGACTGAAAGTTAGGCCCGTTATTTCGAGTTCAGCCAACCAAAAATTAGATCCATTATTTCGGCAAATTTAGTTCCGAACTTCTCCGCTACGAGCCTTCACTTCCTTGACTCTCAAAGAATAACAGGTCTAATGCAGGATTCACACGCGTTTGATGTCCGACGTACGACGTCCGATATCCAATAGAACAGCTCTCTAATATAGAATTCAACTTTACATTGGAAAGCTATTCTTTTATTGGATATGAGACGTCGTAGTTGGACATCGGACGCGGTGTGAATCCTGCATAACCACAGTAGCGTTTGGTTAGTTACTTTGGTCCACTTAACGCTCGTAACGCCACGAGCGTATTCTATCTTTGTTGCTCGAGGCGTTGCAAGCGTAAGGGCTATCGCACACAAATTGACATAACTGCATATGCATAGCATAAGACCGTATGTACCAATGAGCATCGAGTATTAAGTCGCCATATTGGTGTTCGATGCTTAATATTCGATGCTCATTGGTCCATACGATCTTATGCTATGCATATGCAGTTATGTCAATTTGTGTGCAATAGCCCTAAGGGTGCGATTACATGAACGTACGGAACACGGAAATGCGTAAATGCGGAAAAGTAACTAGTAACTAAATGGGATCCGTGAGGTTTTGTTCTGCTTTTCCGCGGATTTTATGCGGAAATACGGAACAAGCAAAATGCATAAGATAGTGATACCATACTGAAACCTCAAGCGAACCATCGTAAAGTTATTTACAATCTTATTCGAGCACTTATTTACGGGCTGTAACTTCGGCAAAAATAATGCTATTGAAATCGTTCAAAAAGCATTTTACAAGATCTTAGTTTTTTAATCATATTAAGATCTTTAGTTTTTAATCATATTAATAAGATAATTTTACCATTGTTCCCTATTAAAATATATTGAATTAAACGAAAAATGGCGGACACTCAATTTTGTATTTTATCTTTCAAGTTATTTTTTACAACGAAAACTGGTCTTGATTGAATATATAATAGATACATTTTAATATAAACGCACATATTCATGTGCGATATATAATTTAGGCAGCACGAACTTTATGAAAAATTTTAACTTTCGTCGGGTCCTGACTTATATTCATAAATCATTGTAAAAATAAGTTAGCTTTATATACGAAAATATTTCTGTAATCTAGAGACTTCAAAGATTAAATACTTCTTGAATCATCTCATTAACGTTACTTTTGCCAAAGTCATAGCTCGTTAAATTTTGTTAATGTGTGATCTTTTATTTCCGATAGAATTTTACTATTTCAGGAAAAGTCGGAGAACTTTTTATTCTTAATTAATACAACTAAATAAAAACTCAGAAATTTTTCTCCTTTCAATTAATATGATCTTTATTTTCAAGCACTGCTGTAACTCAACAACAAGCAAATAAATATTTATTTTCAAATAAAGCAAAATTTAACGCGCTGTAACTTTTGCAAACATGCTATTACCGAATGCGTTCAAAAGGCATTTTGCAGCTTAAAGTCCTAATTTTCTCACAATGTTACTGTAAAAATGTTGTCGACGATTTTCACTAAATTATAAAGAATTTAATGAAAAGTAGCAAACTTTTAATCTTTAATCTTACACACATCTTTAAGTTTAATTTTTGCGTTGAAAATTTACGTGTATCAAAAATGTAATAAATGTATTCTAAAAAGGGATCTTGAAGTTTCTTGTTTGTTCCATATCGAACGTCATATATCGATAATTTTAGCCTCTGCAATCAAAAAGATGAAATGCAAGTCAGGATTTGTAGGGACAACAAAGTCATTGGGAAATATGAGAGTTTCATTCTTTATTCGTCTATATAAATAATCGAACACAGTATAAATCTAATATTTACACCCGCGCGATGTATTAACGCAACGACGTCCTGCAGGTGATCCTTAGACCGAGACATCCTTGCGTTAGTGGCTCCCACGTACGAGACGATGAAGACAGACCGGCGAGATTAATGAAATCGTTCCTAAATGCGTCTTGGCTGCTCGACGATCGATTCACGGTATCACCACCCATCGGCAAATTTGTTATTCGTGAATTGTCGTTTTTCGATTGTGCGGGCATTCTCCCTCTTCTCTCTCTCTCTTCGAGGGAAATTACTCGCTCTATATTTACTGAGAGAAATAGACGATCAGACACCGAGAGCCATCGTCATACGTATTATATTGAGATCGCTAAAGTGAATTTATAGCTGCGAATATCTGATATCGAATATGTATTAATAGATATATAGGATATATATCGAGCCAACGACTAGGTATTATTACAATCTGTCACACAAGAGCGTGTGTGCTACGTTCCCTCTACAGAAAGACGGTCGATCGTCGAGTCCACAGACCGCAATGAATCTCTGAATGTGCGGACAATAAATTATGACGATATGACAGTGGAATATGCATGACGCGGCCTTGACTACGAAATCGTGCGCTATAATATCGTGTACGACAGTGATTCGCGTATCATGCCGCGCTCCTTTAATTCTGAAGTCTCTTTATCTATCCAACGTACCCGTTGGGCCCACTTCTGTCTCTTTCAAAGAATATCATTACGATCAGTAGGGAATGAGATAAATCAACGCACACATTATTCTCATATATATGAAATAGTTCTTCTAAAAAATCACACAACCAGTCACATACAATCATAGAAGGAGAGAGAAATGATCTAAGATAAAAGTACCTGGGCTGCTATTCCGTTATCGTAGTTCCGATAGTTGTCGGATCGGTAGGCGTCGACTCGACAACTGTCGGTACGCGCGGGAACGGAATAGTACTCTTGGACACTAATAATGTTGATACCTAGCTCTAGACATTCTTATCGTTTTGATCTTTAAATACGAATATTTAATATAAATTTTCAACTTAGAGAATATATGTGTGTTTTATATATATATATATATATATATATATATATATATATATATATATATATATATATATATATATATACAGGGTGTTCAAAAAGTCCCGGACCGGTGAAATATCTCGAAAACTAAGCATTTTAGAAAAAAATGTTTCAGATAAAAGTTGTGGCGTTTAAAAAGATGTATTTACTGATCACATCAGTTTGA